GGTTGCAAGAAAGGCCTTTTGGGGGCTAAGTCCTTTCTCTCCAGGTCTTTAATTCTTCATTCTGTTAAGTATGATTACTATCACATGCAATAAAGACTCATGGTTACTATTGCATGCAGTAAAAATTTTAACTATGGCAAAAATGAAGATGAACCATGTCTCTATCTTTATGGAAAATTATTACTGTTAATTCTAGGATTGCAGGACTGTCAATATTGCCCCCCCAACACTTTTTACATCTGCACCCAAGCAGTTCCTCAAAGAGTGTTTAAGATGCAAGATGGTGGAAATAAAAAATGATCTGTGATGACATCCTCACTTTTGAGGCCCCGGCCCTCCACAGACACACATTCCCAGTGTCCTTATTATCCTAGAGCATTATTTACTTAAATTTTTTTTTGGTTGTGCTGGGTCTTTTGTTGCTGCACGCAGGGTTTCTCTAGTTCCGATGAGTGGTGATTGCTCTTTGTTGTGGTGCCATAGGCTCTAGACGTGCCAGTTTCAGTAGTTGTGGCACCCGGGGTTAGTTACTCTGAGACATGTGGGATCTTCCTGGACCAGGGATTGAACCCACACCCTCCTCATTGGCAGGCAGATTCTTATCCATTATACCACCATGTAAGTCTGCGTTGTTTACTTTCTTCACAGCCCTAACTTTCATTTATAAACCCAGACTGTGCTGTTATATTAACCATCTCTTTCCCCCCAGAAATTTGAGTACCAGGATTTCAAGAACTTGTTTCATGCCCATATGTCTGGAGTGCACAGCGCCCTATCTATGCTAAATTGTGTATGTTCTGAGCCTACAGTGCCTAGTAGAAGAGTGATGCTGAAAAACGAGCATCAAGAGCATGGTTTCTGAGCAAGAAAGCCTTGCTTAGGATAGTAACCCTGTCTCTATCCCTTGTTAGGTTTGTGTTCTTGACAATTTATCAAAACTCATAAAGCCTCAGTTGATTTGAAATTTCGAAAAGGAGATAATACCTAACACAAGTCCAAATCCTGTAAGACGACTTTTTGGACATTCTCTTACTGATACAACTATTACCATTTATGGTTTGTGGCCATCCTTATTATGATTTGTTCCACCCTTCTATTTGAATACAAGTATGAACGTGGTAGTTTTTTTAAAATTAAATTTTATTTTCTTATTGGAGTATAGTTGCTTTACAGTGCTGGGTTAGCTGCTTCAGTACAGTGAAATGAATCAGCTACAGGTATACACATATCCCCTTCAACCTGGTAGTTTCTGGTAAGAAGGCACTAACAAAAAAAGATCAAAAACTTTAATTAAGAACAAATGAGAAATCCATTTCAAGACAAAAATTGTAACTGTGGAAAAATAAAATCTTCCTAAAGAAAAATATACATGATAATACTGAGTCAAAATGTTTAAAAATTAACCTGAAAAAAACACCAAGTTGATGTAAAAATCCACAATTACAATGGGATGTTTCAATATATCCTAATATTTGTTAGTATAGAAGTTTTTTGCAAGTTAATAAAACAGCTCTTAAGAAAAATCTACAGAAGCATTAGACCTAAAAAACAAACAAAAAAGGAACATTGTTTTCAGTCACATACAATTAAATATAACTGAAAATGTACTGAGGAATTATGTTCAACTAACTATGAGTAACTGGAAATAGCCACAGTTTATCTGATAAGAGGAAGGTGCCAATTCTCACATGGAAGGACTGGGTCACAGGTATCACTGAGCAGCGCACAGAGGCACACACAGCAGGATCATATGATTCCTTCTGATTGCACCATCATAGCTATTGTTGTGGAATCAGGAGCACTTGGTCACTAGCAGGATCAACAGAACCAAGTATTTTCTACTCAAATTAGACCTTATACAAATACAATATAGAGAAGAGGGGAGTCAGTGCATCACAAAACTTTCTCAACCACAACAGTCTTAAATTTGTTGCCCAGTGGACACATGAGCACTTACAGGAGAATCCAAACTGTGGTGGATCTTTGTTGTGGAACAGGTCTGAGAAAGTGGAAGTCATGTAGGTGGGGGTAACCAGGATACTTTGGACTGGCTAGGCCAAGAATCAGGAAAACAGGCTGGAACCAGGTATATATGAAACTCCTATGTGGCTCAAAAACTAAGGCCTTCTTCACTTTGCCTTCCAGATGTCATGCAAGGGAGGCTAGTGGTGAATTCTAACATGGAACCCTAAAAAGAACAGGTTCTAGAAAATGTAGGTCACAGCATATTACTCATGTTGACAGAACACACTCCGAGAGACCATCTCCAATTCTATGTTTTATGGTCCTGTCACAGGTCTCTCTTCTTTCCACAAATATAAAGACTTACTGGTCTGTTAGTGTTATTACAAAAATAAATAAAAGTTTAAATGTTAATAGCATGACATTTCTAGCTTTTTAATCTCATAGACTTGAAACCCTGTGAGAGGAGAAACCACATCAGTTATGTTCACTGTTGTATTCACAGCACAATGAGCAAGAAAGCCTTGCTTAGGATAGTAACCCTGTCTCTATCCCTTGTTAGGTTTGTGTTCTTGACAATTTATCAAAACTCATAAAGCCTCAGTTGATTTGAAATTTCGAAAAGGAGATAATACCTAACACAAGTCCAAATCCTGTAAGACGACTTTTTGGACATTCTTTTACTGATACAACTATTACCATTTATGGTTTGTGGCCATCCTTATTATGATTTGTTCCACCCTTCTATTTGAATACAAGTGTGAACCTGGTAGTTTTTTTAAAATTAAATTTTATTTTCTTATTGGAGTATAGTTGCTTTACAGTGCTGTGTTAGCTGCTGCAGTACAGTGAAATGAATCAGCTACAGGTATACACATATCCCCTTCAACCTGGTAGTTTCTGGCAAGAAGGCACTAACAAAAAAAGATTGAAAACTTTAATTAAGAACAAATGAGTAATCCATTTCAAGACAAAAATTGTAACTGTGGAAAAATAAAATCTTCCTAAAGAAAAATATACATGGTAATACTGAGTCAAAATGTTTAAAGATTAACCTGAAAAAAACACCAAGTTGATGTAAAAATCCACAATTACAATGGGATGTTTCAATATATCCTAATATTTGTTAGTATAGAAGTTTTTTGCAAGTTAATAAAACAGCTCTTAAGAAAAATCTACAGAAGCATTAGACCTAAAAAACAAACAAAAAAGGAACATTGTTTTCAGTCACATACAATTAAATATAACTGAAAATGTACTGAGGAATTATGTTCAACTAACTATGAGTAACTGGAAATAGCCACAGTTTATCTGATAAGAGGAAGGTGCCAATTCTCACATGGAAGGACTGGGTCACAGGTATCACTGAGCAGCGCACAGAGGCACACACAGCAGGATCATATGATTCCTTCTGATTGCACCATCATAGCTATTGTTGTGGAATCAGGAGCACTTGGTCACTAGCAGGATCAACAGAACCAAGTATTTTCTACTCAAATTAGACCTTATACAAATACAATATAGAGAAGAGGGGAGTCAGTGCATCACAAAACTTTCTCAACCACAACAGTCTTAAATTTGTTGCCCAGTGGACACATGAGCACTTACAGGAGAATCCAAACTGTGGTGGATCTTTGTTGTGGAACAGGTCTGAGAAAGTGGAAGTCATGTAGGTGGGGGTAACCAGGATACTTTGGACTGGCTAGGCCAAGAATCAGGAAAACAGGCTGGAACCAGGTATATATGAAACTCCTATGTGGCTCAAAAACTAAGGCCTTCTTCACTTTGCCTTCCAGATGTCATGCAAGGGAGGCTAGTGGTGAATTCTAACATGGAACCCTAAAAAGAACAGGTTCTAGAAAATGTAGGTCACAGCATATTACTCATGTTGACAGAACACACTCCAAGAGACCATCTCTAATTCTATGTTTTATGGTCCTGTCACAGGTCTCTCTTCTTTCCACAAATATAAAGACTTACTGGTCTGTTAGTGTTATTACAAAAATAAATAAAAGTTTAAATGTTAATAGCATGACATTTCTAGCTTTTTAATCTCATAGACTTGAAACCCTGTGAGAGGAGAAACCACATCAGTTATGTTCACTGTTGTATTCACAGCACAGGCACATAGTAGGTGCTGAATATGGAGGGATGGTAATGCCACTAGTTGACTTCAGAGATATCATGTAATTATTCTAACTGCATTATGGGTAAAAGAGACCCTAAATGGTGATATCAGAATACTGTAGGAGGATTTTTAATGTGCTCTTGGGGGAAAAAATGTCACTACAGTGCAAAGGTGTTGTAGTTATAAATTAAATATAAAATAACCAAGCTCGCAAACAATGTAAAGCTGCTTCATTGAAGTATGCAGATGATGTCAACATGGGTCTCTTTTCTTAATGTGAAGCTGATTACCCAAATCACAGTCAGATGGAATGACAAGAGTTGAGAGAAAAGGTGTTAACTTAAGTCAAATAAGATTATGATAAACTTTGCATACTTACAACTTTATGCCAACTATTTATTAGCAAGGAAAACGGAAAAAGATACTTTTGACACAAGTTTTTCTAATGAAAGAGGAATATTTACAGTGGGTAAGAAATACCCAGTACCTGCCACAGGAAGCCAATAGGAAAATCCCAACAACTACCAGTGTCATTATTCCATGACCCCTTTACTTACAGAACAATTTAAAAGTTATATATTTTGGCACATTATATAATGTTGGCACATTACATTATATTCCAGTTCACCCATGGTGCCAACAGATTTCAAAATGGAAAGACAAAAATTCTATAAGCTAGTTTAAGGAAATATACTACCCACTAAGCTTGCTAAGTACTATTGCTTAAAGAGTTCTTACAGAATTGTTTCAACTCAGTCTTCAGTTGCAAAGTTAACAAGTAGAATCCATAACTAAAGGCTGAGTTTCAGAACAAGCCACTAATAAAGAGGATATATTTTTAACTTTTAAAACATTTTTTTCATGTGAATTTTCTGGAGTACTATTATATGTGAATTAATCCATATCAGGCTTTCCCATGTTATTTACACTTTACAGCATTTATCTCTAGTAGTTTTAACAAGACTTTGAATGTGTTTGTTAAGCTAGAAAACTCTGCTGTATTTATCAGTTATAATTTATCTAGTGTGCATTCTCATGACATGTTTATGTAAGGATGTGGGCCAATTGAAGGCTTTCCCACAGTGCTTACATTCAAGAAGTTTCTCTCCAGTGTGAATTCTCTCATGACTTCTGTATGAACTGGGTCGACTAAAGGCTTTCCCACAGTCTTTACATTTATATGGTTTCTCACCAGTGTGCACTCTCAAGTGACCTCGAAAGGTTGTGCGGTAAATGAATGCCTTCCCACATTCCTTACATTCATAGGGTTTCTCTCCAGTGTGAGTTCTTTCATGTACTTGAACATAACTGGAACAACTGAAGGCTTTACCACATATCTTACAATCATAGGGTTTCTCTCCTGTGTGAGTTCTTTCATGTATTCGAAATGAACTAGGACAATTAAATGCTTTCCCACATTCTGTACATTTATAAGGTCCATCTCCAGTGTGAGTCATCATGTGTCTTCGAAAGCTTGTGAGAGAAACGAATGCTTTCCCACATTTCTCACATTTATAGGGTTTCTCCCCAGTGTGAGTTCTTTCATGTATTTGCAGACCTAGAGGAGAACTGAAGGTTTTTCCACACTGCTTACATTCATACGGTTTCTCTGCAGTGTGAGTCCGCTCATGTCTTCGAAAGGAAGTGGGACAACTGAGGGCTTTACCACACTGCTTACATATATACGGTTTCTCGCCAGTGTGAGTTCTCACGTGGACTTGAAAAGTGGTGAGCCAATGGAAGGCTTTTCCACATTCCTTACATTGATAAGGTTTCTCTCCAGTGTGAGTTCTTTCATGTGTTCGAAATGAACTGGAACAACTGAAGGCTCTACCACATTGTTTACATTCATAGGGTTTTTCTCCAGTGTGAGATCTTTCGTGTATTCTGTATGAACTGGGACAATTGAATGCTTTCCCACAGTCCTTACATTTATAAGGTCCAACTCCAGTATGTGTTATCATGTGTCTTTGAAAACTTCCAAGAGAAATAAAAGCTTTTCCACATTCCTTACAATCATAAGGTTTCTCTCCAGTATGAGTTCTCTCATGTTTTCGAAGAGAACTGGGACAACTGAAGGCTTTACTACACTTTTTACATTCATAGGGTTTTTCTCCAGTATGAGTCCTTTCATGGCTTCGAAAGGAACTGGGACAACTGAGGGCTTTACCACATTGCTTACATTCATAGGGTTTCTCTCCTGTGTGAGTTCTTTCATGTGTTTGAAAGGTTTGATGGTATCGAAAGGCTTTTCCACACTGTTTACACTGATAGGGTTTCTCTCCAGTGTGAGTCCGTTCATGTTTTCGAACAGATTGACGATATCTAAAGGATTTTCCACATTCTTTACATTTATAGGATTTTTCTATACCATGATTACTTTCATGTTTTTGGAAAGGCTGGAGATAACTGAAGGCTTTCCCACATACTCTACATTTGTAAGGCTTCCTTCCATATTCCTGATACTTGGATGGTTTGGGTGCAGTGTGAGATCTCAGGTGCCTATTAAGGGATGAACGACTCATGAAGACTTTTCCACACACACTGCATTCCCATGGTTTAGTAGAATTTTTCGTGTTCAGATTAAGATTTGGAATAAGGGTGCTGTTTTCTCCACATTGACTACCTTCTTTACTTTCACAGAGTCTCTGTAATATATGACCTCTGTCAAAAAAGAAATTAGAAACACATGTTAATGATTTTTTTAATGATTTTATAATAAATACTAGTATTACATTTTCCCATTTACAAGGAAAGTGTAGGGTTTTATGCACTATATAGTTTTTAAAAGTGAACATACTGAATGCTCTGTAAGAAAGCTCAACCACTGCTATTATCATAGTGATATTTATATATGCAGTCTCTGAATATGTTTCAAAGTAAACTATTTGGGAAACAACATCCATGACATAAGAAAACATTTTTGGTTAAAATTTTCTGACAAATAAATTTGAAACTGGGCCCTTTTGTTTCCACTTGTTTTTAGATTTTTATGACATGAGATTCCCATGTGGGACACTGCTTCCCATTTTAAGTACAACTCACCTCAGATTTCTTTCCTGGTTTTTGTACTGATCTTCAGTGTAATGGTCCTCCCATTTATCCCCTAAAATGCAGACCCCAAAAGATCAGTAAATTATAGGAAAATTATTACTTCACAGGTCTATGATGACCTCAAACTATGATTTATTTACCAAAGATTTCCCTTTCCCCGTTCCAAATCTGAGAACAACATTGATGGGCAGGAGGCACTTGTTCTCTAAGTGAAGGAATGTCATCATCCTTACTTATTAAGGCCAGGTTACTCAAAGTTTCCCGCATCACATCTCTGTAGAGTTTCTTCTGTGAAGGCCCCAGCAGAGCCCACTCCTCCAGGGTGAAGTTCACAGCCACATCCTCAAAGGCCACTGGGTCCTAAAACATCACAAATATGTGTACAGGAAGATGGGTGAGATGGACAGTACTGGGAATCTGTAGTCCATCCATAAGTTTACATGTGCTGCTGTTATGAAATCTACTTGTTCTGTGACCTGATAATGAAAATTCTTACTCTCTACCACTTCCTCACAAACTTAACAGCATCATGAACACATACACAAAAATTATTTCTAAATTTTTACTATGATCACTTAAGTCTTATTATTCTCTAACAGTAGGGTCCAGAGCATACTGGAGCAATGTCAACTCCAAATGAAAGAAATAGTTCCATTTTAAGACTGTCAGTTCTACATGAGAAAAGCTCATCTCCTTTAATACCTACCATATCACACAGTACTCCATTAAGCACAGGGTCACATATGCATGAGGTTTTAATGGGAAAAAACAGTGAAGAACTGGAAGTTTTTTCTTCTACTCCCATCATCAAACATGACAGGTCAAAAGTCCTATGTAAATCCAGCTTATGGTTAGGCCCAGCTGGCCATACTGTCCTGAAGTAATCTAGGCTACTAGAAGCAGTCAGATGCAGGGGACTCCCCTGGTGGTCCAGTGGCTAAGACTTCACACTCCTGATGCAGGAGATAGGTTCAGTCACTGGTCAAGGAATAGATCCCACATGCCACAAGTAAAGATCCCATGTGCTACAACAAAGACCCAGCACAGCCAAATTTTAAAAAAAAAATGTAGTAGTGGTCAGATAATGAATGAAAATAATCTCGTGGGAAAGTATTACCTTTTACTTACTTGACAGAGATTCAGTTATTCCTTTTTATTTCACAGTCCTATTTCATGGGACTAGGAAGCTATTCTGAAGTTAGTGCTCAGGCATGAGAGAAGGCATGGCAACTTACACAAAATCCCTATATTCATGGGCCTCAGAGCAGCTTCACACCATCTTTACCACATCTATGTGCATACACTGAGAAGATAAGATGCCAGAAGAGCCTTTTCTGGCAAAATCATAACAATGTACCCTGGAACCTGAGGAACGGAATAAGAACTGCAATTTGCAAGGGAGTCCACTGAAGACCACAGTGCCCATCATTATGAAATACAAAGGGTTCAGTAGTGCTTTCCTCTAAAAGAACATAAAGGTTCCCTTCTCCAGTTACAGGAGGCAGTGATTCCCAACCAGCCACTCACTCCAGAGGCAGCCTCCCCACTGCTCTCATTTCCATGACCTCCTGCTGCACAGGAAAGTGACAGGTGAGCCTCTGGGCAGAGGAATCTCTCAGCCATGTAATTTCCCTAAAAGCTGGTCTCTGTAAAAGGTCACCACTAAATAACCTACTGATATCCACATGAACGGGACAGTGAGAACATTCCAGCACAGTCATTACAATGGTAGGATTTCTTCATTCAGTTAAGGAACAGAACAAGAAATCCCCATTTCTTGTTTTTCTCACAGGAACTGATGGTCTTAAAATGGAAACACTTCGTTCATTTGTGTAACATTTCTCTCAAGGTGCCCTGGACCCTACCACTAAGGAACAGTAAGACTTTCAGTGATCACAGAAGAAATGGAGGAATAATTTTCATGTGTTCATGTTGTTGTTAAACTCGTGAGGAAGTAACCACTTCCTGCTTGGGTCAGCTCTAATTACTCTTTCTATAGTGGGTCTACAGTGCTTGCTCCTCATGGTGTCCTATTACAAAAGTGTGCAGAAGAGAGTCACACTAGAAGGCCTGGGAGGGCTGATTCTTAGCAGTGCCTGCTCACAGTCTTCGTCCCTCGATGGTTATCTGGGAACCGGGATTTGTAAGTGACCTGACCAAGCCAGGGCTTCCCCGGTGGCTCAGACAGTAAAGAATCTGCCTGCAACGCAGGAGACCTGGGTTTGATCTCTGGGTCAGGAAGATCCCCTGGAGAAGGGAGCAACGACCCACTCCAGGATTCTTGCCTGGAGAATTACATGGACAGAGGAGCCTGGCGGGCTACAGTCCACGGGGGTCTCAAAGAGTCAGACACAACTGAGTGACTAACACTTTCACTTCATTTTCCACCAACCTAACTGGTTAAGAATGGCTTGGTGTATCTCAACTGTTTATAGTACATCACAAACTCTTCATTCTCAGTGTCTGACTTTTGTTATGCTCAGCCGAGAGTACTGATGTGATCTGCCCCCAAATCACTCTTGGGTATTGTTTCTAATGAGCTGGCATTTTACATGTATTGTCAAACCCTGCTGCTTGGAGGATTGAGCCTCTCTTATGTGATTACACTAGGAAAGAATATCTAGAAGCTTGCATCTGGCTTCTTAAGAACACATTTAATTAGGTACTAAAGAAGAATGAATGAGGTATTTAATAATCTTCATGGAAAAATTTTATTTTTGTTGGATAACATTAAAGGAGATAGATGAAAATATGAAAGATGTCCTTGATGTTACCACTGCAGAAATATATCTAAAACAATTTGTTATGTAACTAGGAAATGTACTGTATCATTCCCCTGTATTCCATGGACAACAGTCAATTCATTATAGATGTAAATGTGAACAATAAAACTGGGACACTTTTAGAAGTCACAGGTAAATGCTTCATTGATCCAAAAATAGGGAGAACTTTCTCATTTAAGAAAAAGAAAAAATAGCCTTGAAGCAAGAGCCTGACCAATGCAAACATATTAAAACGAAGGGAGTTATAAAACAAAAGATAGAAGAAAATACATGTGATGTTAAAAGGTTAGTATGTGAGGTAAGATGGACACCAGAGTTTTAAAATAATGGGAAAATAACCAAAACCTGTTTAACAGATGATGAGAGACCACACATGAAAAAATTGTCCATCTGCTTAGTAATAGGGAATAATCAGGCAACATGTCAAGCAGATTATATCTCACTCGAAGAACAAAAATTAGTTAATAATCCCAAGTGTTGACGACCATAGATGACAAATATGTAAATTAGGCATGAACAGAGGAAGCATCAACTGATGCACCCCACTGCCGTTTCCTGTAAATCTGAACTTGATCACCATCAGTTGTCCTCCAGTGTCCAGAGAATTTACGTGTATTTGTACTTGGAGATGGATATAAGGATATAGAAAATATATTTTCAATGAGATTAAGAATTAAACTAGGGGGAATTCCCTGGTGGTCTACTGGTCAGGACTCCACATTTTCACTGCCAAGAGCCCTGCGAACTAAGACCCCACAAGCTACTCAGCATGACCAAAAAGAATACATAAATAACTGGAAAAAGCCCAAACCCCATAACCACTGCAATGGATGAGTACCTTGACTGGCCCACAGTCTCAGACACTAGGTGTGTACCCAACATCTGCTGCTAAAAGCAACCAAAAAGCATTCTGAATGTAATTTAATTAATATTTATTGACAGGTCAAAGCAGAAAAAACTAAAACAACACTGTGTAGTGAAAAGAGCAGATGGTAAAGGTATGACTCAACAATCAACAGAGATCCTCTATCGGCAGCATGGAGATGAGCTGGGAGCAGAACATCAGAGACTCTAAAAACTGCCCAAAGGCCCACTTATGAATCTTCACGGTTACAAAGATGTTTGTACTCTTACTATTAGACAGCCCAATAAAGCATTTTGTACATTCTTTTTTGGAATATATATGATGATTTTTTTAAAAAAAGGAATTAATGAAGTTTGGAGAAGAACATAATTTTACTGTGCTTGCCCTGTGATGTGGCAATCTGAGTTTTAACTCAGACTGGCAGCAAAAACTGCTAACAAGACAGAGGTCTATTTTGAAAAAACTGGTTACATAATCTCACCCCAGCATTTACTTTTAAAAATAAAGGGTGGGGCTTCCTTGGTGGCTCAGTAAAGAATCTGCCTTCCAGGGCAGAAGACACAGACCCCTGATCTGGGAAGATCCCAAATGCTGCAACTAAGCCTGTGTACCCCAACTACTGAGCCTATGCGCTAGAATCCATGTACTGCAGCTGCTGAAGCCGACGTGCCCGAGAGCCCACACTCCACAAGAGGAGCCACTACAACGGGAGGTGTGCGCACTGCCAAAGAAGAGTAGTTCCCCTCGCATTGTAACGAGAGAAAGCCCACAGGCAGCAAGGAAGAGCCAGCCAAAAATAGATTATCTGTGTATTTAATAAACAAAAGGTGACATGAACTGGTATAGAAAGATGTGAAGGATTTTTCTTTTTTTTTTTTTTTTAGGATTTTTCAATAGAATAATTAAGTAGTGTTGCAGTACAAAAGCCATGTTCCTTCTTCTGTAAGTCTTAATAGTCTCCTGCACAAGCATGTGGACCGCATCTAAGATTTGGCTCAGATGTCTACAGACTGGTGACAACATGCACTCAATGTCAAGAGCTTTTTATTTTTATAACGAAGTGTCTGGGGGGGGGGAGGGTGGGCTTCTCAAGCATGGGGAACGCCTTCAGAGAGCAAGATAAGGCTCCTGGCCTGGGTTTTTTTTTAAATTGAGCTTAGAGGGTAAGATAGGGTGAGGGTTTGCATACTCCTGGGCAGAAACTACCACGGACTTACTCGCTTGCCAGCACCAAAGGCAGGAACCCTCAGGTTTTCTTAGCATTTTGTACAGATGTGGGGCACAAAGTGGAATAATGAGGGATAAAAGTACAAAGCTGTCAGCTGACGAGGATGGATGTGTACACCCTGCTGTATTTAAAATGGAAAACCAACAAGGACCTACCATATAGCACAGGGAACTCTACCTGATGTTCTGTGTGTGGCAGCCTGGATGGGAGCGGAGTTTGGGTGAGAACAGAGACATATGTGTGTATGGGTGAGTCTCTCTGCTGCTCACCTGTAACTCTCACAGCAGTGTTTGTTAAATGGCTGTACTCCAATATAAAATAAAAAGTTAAATTGAGGTCAGAGACTTCTGGTTCCTCTTCAGTCGTGTAAGGAGTTTAGAAGCTAGCATTAGCATCCTCACAAGATAATAACCAACTAACTAAATACCAACAACTCTTCTTAGACCCAGAACCATCAGAGAATTTAGGTCATGGGGAAACTGCTGTCTCCAAAATCAGCGAGACAAAAAAGCAGCCATTTAAAAATATGCCCAGGATATTCCTGCTCTCCAAATGTTGGAGTAGAGGACAAAAGAGCTTGTGACGGTGATAGGTCTTTTCCCTGCTCCTTACATCAGATATGCGGCATCTCTTAACACTACTGCTCCAACTCTGTGTCATCAAAATATGTGTCTGCCCATTCAGGTCAATATTAACACTCCCTGGAGATGGCGTTAGACATCACAGATTGAACACTCACTGCCACAAGACTGCCCCCATTTAAGCTGCTGGCCACAAACAAGGCGCCTGGGCTACTGACATTTCTACCCAGCTGCCTATACATTCACAGATCTCCTTGACACTCCCTCATGTTTGCTAATTTACCGGAATAATTCTGAGAACTCAGGAGGACACTTGGCTTACTATGGTTGGTTTATGATAAAGGATACAACTCAGGAACAGCCAAATGGAAGAGATGCATAGGGATAAATGTGGAACAGAGGGTGAGGGTCAAGGAAACAAAAGCAAAAGTTAACTAATGGGACCTAATCAAACCTACCATTGACAAAGAAACCACTGAGAAAATGAAAAGACAATGTATTGAATTAGAAAGATATTTGCAAGTGTTAATGACTGATAAGGAGATGATATCTAAAATACAGGAACAACTTCCAGGAAAAAAAAAATAACCTGATTAAAAACTAGCAGAAGACGAACTTCCCATGTAGTCCAGTGGTTAAGACTGCACTTCCAACACGGGTTCAATCCCTAGTAGGGAACTAAAATCCCACGTGCTGCATAGTGCAGCCAAAAAATACCCAAAACTTTCTAAAAATGTGCAAAATACCCAAGTAGATATTTTTCCAAAGAAGGCACAGAGATGGTAAACTGGCGTATGAAAAGATGCTCAACATCACTAGTCACCAGAGAAATGCAAGTCGAGACAATCAGAGATCCCATCACACCTGTCAGAATGGATACCATTAAGAAGACCACAAATAAACTGGTGAGGATGTGGAGAAAAGGGAACCCTTGTACACTCTTGGTAGCAATGTAAATTAGTGCCAACTAATAGGGGAAACAGTGTTGAGGTTTCTCAATAAACTTAAAACGACTGTTGTTGTTTAGTCACCAAGTTGTGTCCGATTCTGCGACCCCACAGACTGCAGCATGCCAGGCTCCACTGCCACAGCACTTCCCAGGCAAGAACACAGGAGTGGGTTCCATGTCCTTCTCCAGGAGGTCTTCCCAACCCAGGGATTGAACCTGCATCTCCTGCATTGGCAGGTGGATTCTTCACCACTGAGCTCTCAGAGAAGCCCAAGAACTACCATGTGATCCAGCAGTTCCACTCTTTCGCATATGTCTGAGGAAAATGAAAACACTTCCAAAAAGATACACACTCCCCAGTGTTCATAGCAGCATTATTTAAAACAGCCAAGATACGGAGGCAACCTAAATGTCATCCATCAACAGATTAAGGGATAAAGATGTGGTACATATATACACTGGAATACTTCTTGGCAATAAAAAAGAATTAAATTCTGCTATTTACCACAACATGGATAGATGGAGGGTACTATGCTTAGTAAGTCAGTCAGACTGAGAGAAATACTGTATGATTTCACTTACATGTGAAATCTAAAGGAAACAAATGAAAATAACAAAACAGAAACAGCCTCACAGATAGGACAAAACTAGCAGTGACCAGTGGGGACGGGAAGTGGGGAAGGGAGATAAGGGTAGGAGGTTAAGAGGTACAAATGTATAAAATAAATAAGCTACAAGGTTAAGGTTAGCAAATGTAAGCTTTTATATACAGAAAGGATGATAAACAAGCTCCTACTATAAAGCACAGGCAACTATATTCAATATCCTGTGATAAACCGTGATGGAAGAGATATTAAAAAATATGTAAGTGAATCACTTCACTGTACAGTAGTAACTACAACATTATAAATCAGCTAGACTTCAATTTAAAAAAAATACTGGGAAAAAAAAAACACAGGAGAAAATCCAGGTAACCTTGAGTTTTTTTGGTGACCTTGAGTTTGGTGATGAGTTTTTTGATTCAACACAACAAAAGCAGGATTGATGAAAGAAAAAAGAAATCTGTAAATTGATGTCATTAAAATGACAACTTTATGAAAGACAGGGTTAAGAGACTGAAAACAAACTAAAGACTGGGAGAAAGTCTCTACAAACCACTTATCTGATAAAAGACTGGCATCCAAAATATCTAAACAACTCTTAAAACTCAACAGTAAGACAGACAACACAGTTAAAAATGGACAAAATACCAGAACATACCTTTCACCAAGACATATGGATGGTAAGTAAGCATAAAAGATGCTCATGTCTTATGTCATGATTGCAAATAAAAGAAGAATATTTCTAGATACTTACTACAAAACCTAAAATTAAAAAGAAAACTGAGAATAAGCTTTATTAAAGGATGGAGAAGATATGGAGTGACAGGAACCCTCACTCACTGCTGGTGGGAATGAAAACAGTATGCCTGCATGGGAAAATGCGCAGTTTCTTATGATACTTAACCGTGTAATCCAGCAACCAGGCTCCTTTGTATTTTACCAAATATGTTGAAAACTTACTGTCACAGGGGCTTCCCTGGTGGCTCCGGGGTAAAGAATCTGCCTGCCAATGCAGGAGACACGGGTTCAATCCCCAGTGTGGGAGGATCCCACATGTTGCGGAGCAACTGGACCCATGCACAACTACTGAGCCTGTGCTTTAGGACCTGGGAGCCACATGTAGCCTATGTGCCCTAAAGCCCAGGCTACGCCACAAGAGAAGCTACCACCACGAGAAGCCTGCACACAGCAACTAGAAGTAGCCCCTGCTCTCCACAACTAGAGAAAAGCTGGTGCAGCAAGGAAGCCCCAGTCCAGCCAAAAAAAACCACCACCCAAAACATCTTCATTCATAGAAATACCTGTGTGTGAATTTTTTATAAAAGGTTTACTCATGACTGCCAAGATTTACAGGTGAACAAGAAATTCTCCAACAGGTGAATGGAAAAATAATCACTGGAACATCAATATAATGAAATGTTATTCACTGTTAAAAGGAAATGAGGTATCAAACCAAAAAGACAGAGAGAACCTTAAAATCATACTGTTAAGTGAAAGCAGCCAACATAATAAGGCTACATACTGTATTATTCCAACCAGAGTTCTGGAAAGGGAAAAAACCATGGGACAATATGTACCACAATAATACAAGATATAAAAAACAGGGCAAAACTATGTGATGGCAGAGGGGTTAAGTGTGACCATTCTGTACTTTGTAACTTAAACTGCTGTAGAGAAAGGTAACATCTATCAGGGAAAAAAAAGAAGATGAAGTAAAAAAGGCATTAATATTCATCTCAGGTGATTGAAAAAGGCCATCTTTGTTAAGCTGATTTGAAGTTACTTCAGTCACTATGGCACTCTCATAAAGGCCTGCACCCTGCAGACAGAGAATTAAAACTCCACTGAATGCCGTGTTCCAACGATGCGTTCTGATGTGGTGTGTCCTGGGGAGGCCTCAGTATATATACACACAGGTGTTACCTTGATGTATATTGTGGATA